ACGGACTACTAGGTGAGCACGGGAAAGTCAGGCGGGGTTGTTCTGCTTGGCAGGAGGGAGGTGAGGAGACTACTGTGGTCAGAACCAACAGTAGAAGCAGAGCAGAAGAGCTGCTGGACAAGTCCGAAGCAGAGCAGAATGGAGGGAACAGATGCGAGAGTGGGGGATCAGTTCCAATGCACGGGAAAGCCAGCCAATGCGCAGGGAGTTGGAAGAGCAGAGGGACAAAGGAATGGGGGAATGGGGGAATGGGGAAGGGGAAGGGGGAAGGAGGGAAGGGGAACGGGGGAAGGGGGGAGGGGGGGGAGGGGGGGAGGGAACGGGGGAAGGGAACGGGGGAACGGGGGAACGGGGGGAAGGGAAGGGGAACGGGTGGGGGAAGGGGGGAAGGGGGGAACGGGGGAGGGACGGGGGAACGGGGGAACGGGGGGGCCGGGGGGGGGGGGGGGGGGGGAACGGGGGGAAGGGGGAAGGGGGGGGAACGGGGGAGGACGGGAAAGCGGGGGAACGGGGGGGAACCGGGGGAACGGGGAACGGGGGAACGGGGGAACGGGGGAACGGGGGACGGGGAACGGGGGGAACGGGGGAACGGGGGATCAGAGGGTCGGAGGATTGGAGGGTGGCCGACCTAGGGAGTCAATCCCTAGGCCAGCTAACAGGAGTTGACTAGGATCAGGCCCAAGTCAAAGAACAGAAGAGCAGGGCTTAGAAAAGGTAATATTCAGACTGAGTATCTACAGACAAATGTACATATGTTTATATACTCTAAGTGATGAGCATAGCATAGCAGAAGGCTATGTGCTGAGTGTACAGGAATACAATAGGATGACTGAGACATACGAGAATAAGGCTTGGGGAACAGTATGTACGCGACGGATCAGAATTGCTAGGGTATAGGGATTACTGGTGATCCGAAAAGCGGAACTATGATACTAAATGGGGATAGGACCAGTGAGGCGGTCGGATGGACTAATAGTTGGGTGGGACAAGACGAGTGGAACTGGGCGGGTTGGAAAAGCAGAGGGAGTAGGATCGGGCGGACCGATAGGGCAGAGGAGCGGAACCCCAGATAGGGTCGGATGGAAGGGGTATAATGTCAGAGGACATAGGGGTAGTGTCGGAAGAGCGGACGGGGTCAGGTGGAGGTAGTAGCAGGGCTAATCCTGCTGAGATGCACTTCATGCATTGTTGGAGAAGGAGGAATGGAGCAGATGGGGAAACAGGGGGTCGGACCAGCAGTAGGGATGCTTATAGGTGGTACTGGGGGTACTCAGATCCGGTATATGACAGTAGGCCCGCACATGGAGAAACTCGAAAGTATCAGCCAATTAGACTTGTGTAAAGGAAAAATTAAACTCGAGTAATCAATGTAAAATACCCTGGGTAGACTCACGAGTTCTCTGATGGACATCAATATTGACACTCTGTTTACCCGACAATTACAAATCAAAGCAAAAAATTCTGGAATTGAAGTTGAAGTTGGGCAAAATGTGGTGGTAAATCTTATCTGCTGATGCATGCCGCATGTCAAATAGACAGAAGGAATATCCAAAGGCTGTTCAATCAGTTGAGTTAGAAAATTTTCAAGCTACAGTAACATAGTAATGCAAAGCAAATTCACTACACGTAGTCTCATCAGAAGCTCTCATGGAATGGCTTGGTAGTGCAAACAGGCATTTGAACTCAAAATGTTTGAGAGAACTTTCGATAGGGGTTGGTATTAGACTGTGGATCGCTCATGTCGCTGTACATCATACCATGGCATAATGCAGGCGGTGTTGCTACTCTTGCTATTCTTGGTCTACAAGTGCCATTTGACTCTTTTCAAACGTTTTGATGGGGCAGGAGTGACCGATTCAAGTGGGCTGTTGCCATTGATCTGAAACTCATCCAATGTACGCTTTGTGGATGTGCCAATATGGAACACGACGGTGTTGGGCCTCGGAGAAGTGACAGATAGCAAGGGTGGTGCCAATAGGCACAGTAGAGGGAGGATACTGCGAGGTGGTTGATGGGGCAGATATCAGGAACAGGTCTTGCATGTGGGGCCACAGGGAATTCCTTTGTTGAAAGAATAGTTGTGGGAGTTGACGGTCCTCTTGTTGACATTTCAGAGGTGGAAGCGGGTGCCGAAGCCTCTGTTGTCGATTGTCGGGAGTCCATGTCGATGGCTGACAGTCGTTTATTAGGCTGCGCATTAACAGGTTCAAACTGAGTGTAAGAGAAAATTAAAAGGCATGTCATAGAATAACAAATATCCAACCCAACCTAAGGCAATATCAGCTTTTGGGACTTCAGGAGAGGGAATCAATAATCGTTGGAAATACACATACCTTTGCAAGTTTCTGCCCTTCGGATAAAACACTGAGGCAAGACCGCAGACCTTTTAAACACCATTGCCTTCGAGCCAGGAAGGAGACAATGATTCCAGAAAGCCTGGAATAGGTGATTGAGCATGTGATTCCATGGAGTTGGAGCTCGCAAGAGATGAACAGCCCAGTTTTGACAAGCATACTTGAGAGCGTCGGAAGTAGATCGACTTCGCTTCTGTGCTTCTTTTGCGAACGTCATAAAGGTGTTCACGGCATGGATGATCCCCCTGTCTGGTGGACAATGACTTTTTGGTATTGCAGAGGTGGAATGATGCTGGCACCTCAATGCCAAGAATGCCGGGAACATTAAGAAATCCGGTAAGCTCTTGAACTGCTGGATTACTTGAGAAGCTGGTTGTAAAATAAATTCTGGGGCATGGATGTACTTGTTGATTGCTCCCAATGTGCTGGAGAATTCTTCCATCGTCAGCCAGACAGATGCTGCAGGAGTCGACTGCCATGCTTGACCATCGGGCGTCAGCAGCCAGTTTTTCCCGCACTGTGTCTGCAACCAGTCTCGCCCATCCTTGATCTGCAGCCAATTTTTCCCGCCCGAGGTCTGTAACCAGTCTCGCACGCCCTGGGTCTGCAGCCATTTTTGCCCAAGCCGGGCTCGCAGCCAGTCGCGCCCGCCCTGCGTCTCCAGCCACTCCTGCCCCTGCACTTTCTGCAGCCAGTCCTTTCCCCGGGTTCGCAGCCAGTGCCACCCGGCCGGGGTCTGCAGCCAATTTTTCCCGCGATTGGTCTGCGACCGGTGGTGCTGCTTCCCCATTGTGGTCATCAGCGAGGCTTTTCTCCTCGTGGTTGGTAGCGAATCTCCCCTGCTCGGGGTCGGCAGCGAAATTTCCACGCTCGGCTCAGTCTGCTGGCAGTTCGCATTCATGAATAATTCCAGGTGGGATTCACCCGTCATGGCCGGGATCTGCAGCTGGAATGGTGTGCTTGGTGTCTGCGACCGGTCTTCTTTTCCCAAGAGCCAGGAGTGCATTCCCGCAGTCGGCCATTTGCCCGCGCTCTGCATCCAGTCTCGCCCAGTCTTCGTTCTCAACCACTTTTCCCCCCACAAGACTTCCAGCCAATTTGCGCCCCACTGTGTCTGCAGCCATATGTTTCCTCCCAGAGTCCACAACCAGCGTTGTCCAACCCAGGTCTGCAGCCAGTCCTTCCCCTCTCGTGTCGGCAGCCAGTCTTTCCCGCCCTGTGTCAGCAGCCAATTCTCTCCCGTCGGGGTGCACAGCCAGTCCTTCCCTCGTTGGGTCTGCAGCCAGGCAAATCCGTCCTCGGTCTCTAACCAGAATTGGAAATCTGAACCACGATCTCCCCAAAGCCATATCATACTGATGAGAACTGACAGAGGCTCCGCTGGCCGAACAAGGAAGGCTAGTGAGTCTTTCAATCTCTGCGGGTCGTAGGGCTTCATAGCTTGACTCTGCCTCTTCAATTCTGAGAGCGCATCAGAAAGGGCCATGCTTTCTGGAATCTCCTTCATCATCAAGCGGAGAGAGGCATGTGCGAGGAGGGAGTGGGGTGATGGGATATCATGTACTTGAGGGAGGCTGCAGTTTGAGGGGTCGGAAACATAATCACGAACGGATGAGTGGTAGATATTCACGGGGAGTGTGCTATTTGTAGGAATACTCATGACAGACCGTAGCTGCATCAGTGCTGTCTCCACATCCCTCCCCTGGCCAGCGCCAAGAAGTTTCGAGATTTGTGACATTGGAAGAGAGTCCACAAGTGCAGCAACGACGGACAAGTGTAGGTATGCCCGCTTGGGGTCGGCGCATGTAGAGAGGATACAATCATACAACTTGTAAACCTCCGTTCCTGGTAGCAGCTTAGTCGTTAGCTTGAGCATCAGCTGAAGCCGATCGTGGGGAACCGGATCGTTGTCTCCATCATCGATAAACTTCATCATTGTGGACGCCACAATGAAACGTCTGCCTGCTCGACTGGCAAGCTGCTGAAGTTCATGCATTGATGGCTGCGGAAAATCGGGGGTAGCGTCTTTGCAGCCCTCTAAACGAATGCCGCAAGAAAATATAGATGTCATTGTCAACATCTGCGCCGTCTAACGAGATGATATCAGCAATGCCCTCCCCGGTAGTTTTCACTGGGATCTCGCACACCAGCGGGTGAACCTCTTCTTGCTCAAAGGTCTCAGAGATATGCGATTCCGAGCGACTCGTGAGCAGAACGTGGGTCACGGGCAGATCAGGTTCACGAAGAGCCCGTGCAAGGGAAAGGATGAGATCGGTAAGCTCGGGTTCGGATGTGCATTCATCAAGGGCATCGACGACAAATGTCAAAGGTGGACACTCGCTCAGCCTGGATTTAAGCTTCCGGAGAGGTTTGAGAAAGAATGCCTCCATCTGGTCGCAGAGAGAGTTGTTAGGGTCTAGGAGGGCGGGATTCTCGCGGATGGCATTGTTCACGTCCGACCGGATGCTGGGAAATTTGCTAGCAAGCTGGTAGACAAGCGTTGCAAAGAAATATCCAGTCGTGCAACGTTTGGTGTGCTTGCGCGAGAAAAAGAATGTTCCTGCGAGCCGCTTTTCAACTGTGGTCTCCTCTGTCACTTTTAGACTCCTCATCTTTTCAGCTACAGTGAACGCAACGGCAGACTTTCCGACGCCCGCCGTGCCATGCAGCCAAATGAGTTGACTCTTCTCCCGCTTGTCTAATAATGTGCGAATGCAGTTGAGAAGGTCGACCCGGGTCCCTTCCAAACATTTTGGATGGGGCTGGCGTTCACGGGAGTCATATTTCGCGCCCTGGACGGCGACCTGGGACAGCCTCTCCCACGTTCCTTCAGACGATCGAACTGCTGATGGTCAGAGAGCGAGAGGGGGGTTAAGAGATGGAAATACTAACAGTGATCCTGACTCATTCGCGACAGTTATGACAGATGGGATTGAACGACTCAGGGAAGTACTAAGTAGCTGGGTTCGGGGTTGTGGTTAAAAATCATCTGGACGCTGGTTATCTCGAGGGACGATGTACCAAGATTTGAATCAAAAGACCCAACACCCAGGCTGTTGCTTGGATCTAAAATTAGAGCCGGGATCAGTTGTAGGTCGCGAAATAATAAAGCTATGGAGTGATGCAGAGTGCGAAGTGAAATGCACTGGAAGTTGAGGTTAATGACGAGCGGGCAATCGTTCAAGGCAAGCGCTGGTCTGATTACAGGAGGACAAGAGCCTGCTGCGAGTACCGACACCATTGCACAGCCAGACGACACTGCCTGGTACCAACGGTTCAACTTAGTATGGTAGTCTCCAGAGGTTAAATATAAATCCTGGGAAAGATATATCACTGTGTGAACAAGGATTGTTGATCGCATTGTAAGTACCATTAATATTGGCTAGGATGTAGATTTTTTAGTAGTACTGACTTTCGAGACACCTTCCGTCTAGAAACATGCTCTGTGGTAGTCTACACCAGTGATAGATGAGTATTAAGGAAATGTAAATTGCATATCCACACAGTGTCTTCTCACCAAATATTCCTAACTCCTTGAATCTCGATGGCATCCAAAACATCCATTTCAGCTTCCAGTGACACCTCTGCCAGTTCCTACGTGTGGGTGCCTGTGAGGTAACTATCTAAAAAGTAAGGGAGAAGGGTGTGGGAACGTCTCTAAAAAGCAAGGGAGAAGGGTGTGGGAACGCAGCCACCCACACATGGATGCCACGTTTCGTCGCATGGACACCATGTTTTTTCGCTAAGGTCGCTGAAAAGAGCGATGCCATGTGGTTCTGTCAAGCGGAGTTTCAATTTCCGAAAACCGTCGTCCGTTACTATACCGTCCGAATTGGGTCATATGTACATTTCGCTTGATTTGGCAACCTCACGTGGTTTTTTTTTTCAGCACCGACTGCACCAGACGCGACGCGACGCAACACAACACTGCTCTACCATTCCAGCGGCTCCCAATCACCTGCCGTCACTTCTGATCACCTGCCATCACCTCTCACCATCAGCTATTAAATCCTGCTGCCTCTCAGTGCCCTCAACACTTCACCATGGCCATTTCCTGCACTTCCCCAGCACCTGATACTGGCTCGGACGTGTTTTTGGCCGCGTCACGTGACGCGGAGCTCCCTGTCACACCGGGTCACGTCACCATGTGAGTTTTTCAGTGTCTGTTTTTGTCTGATCACACAATTTACAGCAGCTATTCCCAGTGCTTCCTCAGCACCTGATGCTGGCTCGGGCGCATTATCATGTGACACTCCGGTCATGCTGGGTCATGTCACGAGGTGAGTTTTTCTCTCTCTCTCTTTGTCTGATTGTGTATTTATGGTAGCTACAAGGCAGGAGCCCAGACCTACTGTCGACTGGAATGCCAGGCTTCTGCAGGGCTTTGATGCAAGTTTTGCTGCCCGCCTGCAGCAACGTCATCGCCAGCCTGTCAACATGCTGGCCCCACCTCCCACCTCCACAACTCCTTCAGTACCCCCTCCTTCTGAGTTGTCGGCACCTGCTGTGACTGACTGGTCTGCTGAACTCTGTCGCCGCTGGTCTGAGAGTCACATCACGCGTCTTGAACGGAGACGACTCAACAACCCGTATGCTAAGGTCACCACTTGGCAAGAGAATCGCAATGCTATGGATCAGACAATCCATGACCTCCGATGATATAACGTGAAGTTGGCAAAGGACATCATGTGGTGGCGAAGAGCAACATGAGCAAGACCTCAAGAATGATGATAGGATGTGGATACCTTCTGCTCTCAGTTGGAGGAGGCACGTAAGCATCAAAAGCATCGCCGGGTGGTGGATGCTTGCGAAAGCACCTCTTTGAGCAAAAGAAGGGAAAAAGTCGGGAGGAGCATCGGCATTTGGATGGAGCTACGCAGGGAGGGCCCTCCACCTGGGCTGGGAGCCTTCTGAATAGTTTTTTGTGTTAGAGTTGTTCCTAATATGATTTGATTTCTGATTGGATGGGAGTGATGTATGAAATGGGTGATGTGACATTATTGGAGTGGTGGGAGGATGGGAGGATGGGAAAGAGAGATGGAGATGGGAGAGGGAGAGATGGAGACGGGAGAGGGAGAGGGAGAGGGAGGGAGAGGGAGACGGGAGACGGGAGGGAGACGGGAGACGGGAGACGGGAGACGGAGACGGAGCGGGAGACGGGAGAGGGAGACGGAGAGACGGGAGACGGGAGACGGGAGACGGGAGATGGGAGACAGGAGACAGGAGACAGGAGACAGGAGACAGGAGATGGGACACGGGACACGGGACACGGGACAGGGACACGGGACATGGGACAGGGACAAGATAATTGGGAGGAAGTGTATGAGTCAAACTGTTTGTGCAACATCCCATAACTAAAACAAAACTATATAATGTAAGAAATTATTGATTGTTATAATTAAATAATATGTAGACACATTGAGGCAAGGCACCAAAGGTGCCTCCAGCAGAGCACAAAGTGCTTGCTGCTTCCTGTGCCGAAGGCACAACGGGCTTGGACTCGTCTATAAAGTAAGGGAGAAGGGTATGGGGGGAATGTGGGAGGATTTGGGCATTTTCGCGTAGCGCACATGGCGTCGGCAGTTTCGGTTACAGACCTTTAGGAATTTTCGTGTGCTTTTCATTTTCGGAGTTCCATTTCCCTACGAGTTTCGAAACCCTCGCAATCTAAACACCTCTTTCCCCCCACCATCTGTTTCCTCACACTACATTGTTGAAATCCTCTCCCCAGTGATTATTTGTAAATTTGTAGTGAAATTCCCCTCCTGGGGTAAGCTTTACTTATTTAAATACAAAAATAATAATAACTTGAAAAATTCAACAAATATAGTGATTTTCGCTTTTGCTGTTTTTGGACCGCATTTTGGACCGTTTGGACCGCATTTGGACCTCCCTTGGACCCCTGGACCCTCCTGGACCCTCCTGGACCCTTTGGACCCCTGGACCCTTTTGGAGAGCAGGTTCGTGTGGTGTGTTGTGTTGTTTGTTTCTGTGCCCGAATCCCACGGAGAACTGGGGAAATTGGGTATACAAGACGAACGTGCGAGGAGTCTTGCAGGCGTCTTTTGCAGTTGTCAAAGACTGTCCTGTGACATCTCCGTGTCAAGTCCTACCTCCATGGCTGCCTGTTTTTACGGGTGTTGCCGGTTGCTATCGCTTTTGCTGGGACCTCTGATAGCACTACAGTGCAGAGATTTGGTTGGCGGGACGCTTTTTGCATTGAGTCTGGCTGGGTGTTTTCTATCTGGCAGTGCTCACAGTTGCCTTCCTATCCCCCTGGGA